CTAAAATATGATAATTCTATGTATTTGCATCATTATTTCACATTACTCCCCTTCAGATCCCAGGTTTCCTCAATTCCTTCCCATTTTAAATTATCAGAAAATACCGTTTTCCCCACTATACTTACAATTAATGACGGAATTCTTCATGTAGCTGAAATTCCACAACTAAAATTTTCCTTTTTTGGGAGCCAAATACCTCTTCTTTGAGAATCTTTTCTTTTGATGTGCCATGTCCTTTCAGGATGATCATGGCTCTCCACCTCCCTCTATCCCTTGCAGCTCTCAACAAGTTCTTTCCCTCTGCTTACTCCTCCAGATCATATTCTGTCATCCACTTGCTCAAGCCCACTAGGTATGTCATGTGTTGTTTTCCTTTGTCTCTTTTTCTCCCTTTTTCAAACTGTGAGTATCAGATTCTCCAGGCCCTCCTTCCTCATTATGTGTCCCAGAAACTTCAGCTGCCTCTTCTTGATGTTAAGTATAAGCCTCCTCCTTGTTTGCATCCTCACTAAGACTTCATTGTTGGTCACACAGTCGGTCCATGATATCCTCAGCATCCTTCTGTAGAACCATATCTCCGTCGCCTTGAGTCTTTTCTTCATCTTTGAGGAAATCACCCAACATTCACTGCCGTAAAGAAAGACAAATGTCACATAACTTTTGTTAGCAAAGAAATTCTCCTGTCTCGCAATGCTCTGCCCAGTTTTTGAAATGTGTCCTTGGCCATCCTAAGACGTCTATGGATCTCAGTGTTGCACTTACCATACTGTTCTTAATATCTATCATAGTCTAGTCATATCTGTCTCAGTCTGTTCAGATCTATCTATGGTTACCACTCCTCTCCGTCTCCAGTGGCGATTCTCTAGGGGGCAGAAGGGGCCAATTCCAACCCGGCTCCATTTTTGTAAGCTTAAAAAAATTCATGAAACTGATCAGTCTCCGATTTTGATAAGATTTCATCTTAAGTACTTTTCCCTCTACATCTTCTTTTTCATTTTACTTCTTTTTTTTATTACATTCACATCTGCGAAGATCAGGCAAAATTAGGACACATGCACAGACCAGTTTGAAAAAAAAAAAAATATATATTTAAAAATAATGTACCCAACTTGATATATAGATATATATAGGCAGTCAGTGATTTATGACAGAGTGAAAGAAATGGTCAGTAATTTTCTCCAATCTATTGAAGACAGAAACCCAGATGCTGATTTTCTATTTTTCAAAAGTATGCAGACTGGCTTGTCCATCTCTACACTGAGGGAGACACACACAGAAGGTGACCGGAAGTCATTATCAATGCTTCCGACCCCTGACCCTTGAACTCTGATAACCAAGCCCATCTGCTACAAATTATCTGGTTACTGACTATACCCTGAGTTCGACCATTCAATCAAGCTTACATTTTTTGAGCTAGTCGTAGGGGAAATTGACTCTGCTCTTTAAGAAGTAAATTTATTTGAATTTTGATGTAAAATAATTTACATTTAACTTGGTATGTTAACTTGAGTTTGTGTCAATCCAGCTGCCATATTTGATGTTTTGTTTCAGGGTTATGGAGAAATTATATTATTTAAATTATTTCCTTATTTCAAAGTAGCTTCTTGATCATATGGCTGGAGTTTGCCGAAAACAGATTAATTTTTTAGCTGATTTTTGTACACCTCTAGTGACCACAATTTTGATTGATTTTGTTGCATTATCTTATTTTTAATTTTGTATTTATTTTTTTCTCGCATTTATTTTTTGTGCTTCGAAACAGTTTTGTAGAGGAAAAATATCAGAGCAAACAAATTACCCTGTTTTGCTAGTATTGACATTATTAACCCTTTGATTTTGCTTTGATGTTAACCTCTCTTCTGGTCCAACAGCTTGAGAGTGAAAAAGAGGCCAAAGAATAGATTAGAACTCCACTACTATGAATGAAAAGTTATTCTGTTTAATTTAGTGAAGTAACATACTTATACTAAAACTCATTCCTAAGTTGTGCATACGATAGGCGTAGTATGAAAATAAAGACGCTGCTTGAATTTGCACCCCTTCCACAGAAAAATCTTGGCCCCCACTTTCAGAGTTCTAGAATCGCCACTGTCCGTAATTGTGGTTCGTGGCAACATTCAAGTCAGAATAGTGCAATGGCTTGCCGGTTCCATTTGGCCCAGGGATATTGAGGTTACCATGTCTCTTTATTAGAAATTAAAGCGGTAGGACTATCAAGGGAGCAGATGATTTGAATTCAGAGTTTTCCTTCTAAACTGGTTGCTATCCAAGGCTATAGGGCCCAGTCTGTCCTACTATTTAACCATAGCTAAGTGGAGGGGGGGGGGAGAAGATATGGATTCATACCTTTCCCAAGGGTATTAGTATGGAAGTGAATGTAATGGACTCGACCGGAATCTGAACTCAGCTCTCTCATTCCTCAATCTGATCTGCTGTCCATAACTTTGCATTATCAAAAAAAAAAATTAAAAAAATAATAATAATTCTTCAGCACAATAGGAACAATCTTTTGGTTGTTTTAGAATCTACTCAACAAGTTTAGATTTTTTATTTATCTTTTTTTTAAACTTTTATGATCTTCAAAGTTAGTGTTAGCTACCAATATACCAGGGAGGTGCAAACCTATTGGTGGGTGGAAGTTGGAAATCTTAAGGGAAGGAAAATTGACATGTAGTAGAGAGTGAGGTTTCCTATATCAGATGATCTATTTTTTGGCAAACCATGAATGCTATTTTATTTTTTTGCAGGTAAAGCTAAGAAGCCATAGATCTGAAAAAACAAACAATTTATTGAAGCAAAGGAGTTTTTACTTTATAACTAAAGTTACTTTCAAATTAAAAAAAAACAAAATAATGAATGATTATGTGCTCACACCAGTTGTAACAAGTGACAGTAAGTCTCCAGCATTCTTCTATGCATTCTAGTTGTTTTCGATAATGCCATTGTTTGGAATGATGGTCCAACCAAAGTTTCTTTTTGTTATTATTATTATTATTATCATCATCATCATCATCATCATCATTTAGTAATCATTATTATTATCCTTATCATATTTTCATTATTAAATTATTATTATCGTTATTGTGTTAAAAATATAAATTTAATCACTATCGATCATTATTATCATTATTATTAATAAATCAATTAATATCCTTATTGTTGTTATTAAAATTTGATAACATAAGGATAATAATAATGATTGATAATAAATCAATATTATTGTTGTTCATTATCCTTATTGTTATTATTATTTTTTAAATCATATTGTTAAATCATTATTATTATCCTTGTTGTTGTTGTTATTTAATAAATCATTATTATCTTTAATCATTATTATCATTATTATTGCTATTATTAAAATTTATTAAAATCATTAATCATTCATTATTATCAAATTATTTTAAAAATCATTAACGAATCCTATACTTAATCTTCTTATTTTTAAATAATTATCCTTACCTTATTGTTTAATTAATCATTGAGAAAAAATCATTATTCATTATATTGTGTAACTACGATTATTCTTATTTTTCTTATCGTTGTAAAATAAATTATTTATTTATTTAATTTAAATCTACATTTCTTCGCGACAACTGTTTTTTTTTTCGAAGTTGAAGAAAAAGATAATATTTATTAAAATAGAAAAATTGCTAAAGAAACGTACTTGTTTGAAAATAAATTTATTTTACTGTGGCAAATTAAATTAAGTACAAGTTTAATGAGCGAAACTTTTGGAAGGAATTTTATTTTAACAGAACTACTTGTTGAGGCAGAAAAAAATCTATAAAGTTTTTTTTTTATATTTTTTACTTTAAAAAAAACACACGAAAAAATGCATCCTTTCTTTTATTGACAAAACAAAGCCTCTTTAAAAATAAGAAAGACAAACAGAATAAAACTCGAGAAACAAGAAGAGTAATATTTTGAGAATGAGGAATTAAAAATAAGAAAATGTTAAAAATAAACGAGCCAAGTTCGATTAACTTCTGTTTTTAACTAACTAACAAGTGCTCTCTGGCGCAAAAATTTCGATGGGGAAAACTAAAAAGATACACAAAAGTTTTTAAGCACCCGACAAGAAATTCCTCGAGACAATTATAGTAGATTTTCATAAAAATTGCAGCTGCAAATGTCAAATAAATATACAGATGATAAATAAATAAAACAAAAACAGACTTTGTCGTACGTAAAACTAAAACAAAAAATATATAGTGATATTATTTACTTGGTGCTTCTTTTGTTTACCAGTTGAGATTCGTTTTAAAGTTTTAGTTTATGTTTTTATTATTTTTCACGAATCACAGGAAATTTGAAACAATATTAATTTTGAAATTATAAAATACTTCAATTCTTTCTTAAAAAGAATACGTGAAATATAAAAATTTGCTTTCAATTTTCTTGAAAAAAAAAAAAAAATGATTATAAATAATTTTGCAATAAAAAGTTATTATCGGACAATCTATTCTAAAAATTAGATGCCATGACGAAATTGATTTAACTTTCTTTTCTAAAGATAAATTAATAAAGCAAATTAGTTCTTAGTTTAAAGACATTTAAATCAAGCAAATAGATACGATTTCTCAGCTTAAAAGAAACGACCTAATTCAGGGTTAAAAATAAATGTTCCTTGAAAATTCTTTCTGGACGAGTTTTTCTTAGTTAAGAAGAGTGTTGTCAGCCATAATCAGGTTGTTGAGAATATGAACGATTTTGCCAAGTGTTTTTTTTTTAATTTTATTTAATATCTTAATTATATACTTTTATTTATATGATGAAAATATTAATTTTTTTTATAGGACCATATACTAACGATGAAGCTGATTCGCTTTTTTTTAGCGACTGTCTTCGGTAAAAAATTAAACTAAACAACTTTTTGTTGAAGTATTTTTGCTTCAAATGTGAATAAAAACTTGTTGAAGTTGTCTTGTCACTAAATCGAACCCAATTAAAATTTTAAAAAAATCATTAATTAAAGAAAGGTGTAAACAGAAAGAAATTACCTTTTTTTATCTGAATTATAATCCTAAAAAGTCACAGATGACATGCTCTCATTTTCTTTACAATCAAGGAAATCGATTATCCTCTCGTCCTTTTTTTCGCTGAATTAGTGTCTTTTTTTCTTTCTTTCTTTTTTTTAGGAAGTGGCTATTAATTTAAGACAGATGCGACGGACAAGGACTGAAAAAGCCTTGGTTAAAAATTACTGCTTCGTGTTTTTTTTTTAAAGTTACTGCACAAAAAGTTCCTCCTAGCAAGTGCTTTGATGTTTTTTTTTTGTTTTGGAACAAATAATAAACAACTAATTGAAGTAAGTAAAGACGAAAAAGAGTAAAAATAAATGTTTTTTGTTTCTAAAAAAAAAAAGACTGAGTGAAAAAGAAATATCGTAAGTTTAAAAAAAAAGTTTTTAAAAGCTATTTTTCTGTTGTGTCAATAAATCCGTTTTATGAATAGAGATAAATTATAAATAAATAATTAAATTAATAAATAATTAATTAAATATGAATAAATAAATAATTAAATAAATTTTATTTTTTATATATTTGTCATTTTTTTAGATACTCTCCTCTTTATCTTTCAAATTTTACAATATAAGAAGTAAATTAACAAGAAAAAAGCAAACGAATAAATTATTTTTTTTAAGTATTTGTTCACGTCAATGACTTTTTTTTAAAAGAGATTGGTGAAAAAATAAAATATTTAAAAATAAAGCTATTTTTTCTGAAAAATTTTAAAAAGTTTTTTTAAATAAATAATTTATTTGTTTATTTTGTTTTGTCCTTTTTCTTTCAAGTTGATTTCAAAGTTTAGAATTTTAGAAGGACATTGTGATTGTGTACGCTAGTACGCACATTTTTTAAAAGTGCATTTAAAATTAAGAAAACAGTTTATTAATAAGAGAAAATAAAATCTATTGCTATGGTGATGTGATCAGCATCATATTTTTATTATTATTATTGTTTTTTTGTCTTTCCTTTGTGTGTTTATGCTTTGTATCTCGTAGAGCCGGGTCCAAACTATGGTCTTTAGGCCTAGAAGAATTCGATAGCACTTCTATGGGATGTTCCTAGTAGGGCGATTTTCTGGGTAACTTGTATGCTGATGTTACCTGGGACACTCTTAGTAAAATTGTCCATTCCTTTTCTCAAGAGACCCAGAGCTCCGATTATTATTGCTACTGTCTTCATTCTCCCACCAAACATCCTGTTTTAAATCTCAATCTCCTCGTCCTTGTATTTGGGAAATTTATCGATTACTACTACTACTACTACAACAACTTTTTTTGATTTCTGGCGTTTACACCTTTCTTTCCGGGTCCCACCCAGGGACCTAAGGTTAGAAATGGCATCATGACACTTTCCACTGACAAAAAAAAAATTACATAGATAAAGCCCTTCGTAAAGTGTGGGCTGTACTTGTCAGAACAATTTTTTGTATCTCCTTGAGGCATGGACTTCCAGGAATCCCTTCAATTAGTCTACTGCAATCTTTTCCAACCAGTCCTAGGACTCCAACTACAACAGGGATTGTTGATGTTCCCATATGCCACATTTTCGAAATTTCTATTTCAAGGTCCTTGTATTTTGACAGCTTTTTGAATATCTTCAAAGATACATTGCAGTCTGCAGGGACTGTCAGATCAATAAGTAGGTACTTTTTTTTTTGTTTGTGGTCTTTAATAACAATATCTGGGTGGTTGGCTTTGATTGTTCTGTCAGTGGGTATTGTGTAGTCCCATAGAATTGTAACAGGTCCTATCTCCGTAACCGGGTCTGGGTGGTACCAGTTTCTTTCAGTTTCCTTCCTGTAGAAGTTGCAGATTTTCCAGTGCAGATATTGGCCCACTCTGTCATGCCAGGTTTTATGTTCAGTTGGTGCCAATATCGTGCAACCTGATACAAGATGATCAATCGTTTCTGGATATTTATCACAGAATCTGCATTTTGGGCTGATACAATATTTTAGTATATATGCTTGATAATTCCTAGTTAGCAAGCATTGGTCCTGTGCAGCAAGGATAAAACCTTCAGTTTCAGCTTTCAACCCTGCACTACGTAGCCACTGATGGGTACAGGTTTTGTCTATGTCAGCTTGTTTGGTATGGGCAGAGTATTGGCCATGAAGCAGTATCTTGCCATCGCTTCTGTATCTGGTCGGTTGAATTCGTCTTTGCTGTTTTTTTTAAGTATTTTGCAGTTTCAGCTGGTGTATTGTGCTGTACTTGCATCGCTAACACCCATTTGAAACTCCATTTTGATTATTATTATTATTATTATTATTTTGTTGTTGTTGTTGTTCTGTGATGTCGTTTTGCCTCCCTTTGTCTTCTTGTATATCACCTCTTCCTTCTCATGATGATGATGATGATGATGATTATGATGATGATGATGCTCAGTTACTCGTTTCCAAAAACTGCTACTGAAGCTAGCCAATCCCCATTGCATACGCTCGCTCAGGCACATTTGTGTTTCTGCAGTACACACAAATCCCACTTGTGATGTATACTGCAACTATGCTGAGCAAATCTTAGTTACACTTTCTGGCTAAGAGTACTTAATATGGCATGATCAACAGTTTGAACAACACTCACGATGTGTGACTTTGTGCTAGCACAACTATCAATGGTCTTCGAGCAGTTCCTTCTACCCAATTTCACTCACAAGACTTGGGGGGCAACTCATTGTGTCGTTATCAGGCAAATCCCTATAGTGCTGCTTCACAGGCCAATAATATAAAGAAGTCATCTCCCTGACAATGGTGAGATTTGAACCTGGGTCTGTTAATTAGCAAATTAGTTAATAAAAAACAAACTAGTTAATAAAAAACTAATTAGTTTAGTTAATAAAAACAAATTAGTTCAGTTAGTTGGAAAACAAATTAGTTTGTTAGTAAAAAACAGATTATTTAATAAAAGAAATTAGTTTAGTTAATATAAAAATCAAATTAGTTTAGTTAATAAAAAAGAAATTAGTTAATGAAAAAACCAGTTAGGTAATAAAAGAAAAATTATTTAATAAAAAACAAATTAGTTAATCAAAAAACAAATTAGAAACATGCATACACACACACAAACAAAATATTACCCAGAAGATAGATGTATATAAGCAATAAATGGTTAAACATTTTAAGACTGGTGATGTTATGTTGGTGAATTCAATATCATAGCAACTTTTGTTGAATTATTTAATGTCAAAGGTAATTTATTTTATTAGGTTGTGAATTGTGGAAGGTTAGATTTATAACTGTATTTTATTTATTGTTGTTGAAATGTGCACATACAGAGAGAGCCCACAACATATATATATATAAATAAATACACTTAAATTCACCTTCATCAATGCTGTACTCCAATGGCTTAGGGGTAGATTCTCCGACTGACACCAATTCAGCTGGGTTTTGATTCTAGCTACAGGCAACCAGACATCTAGCCACACTGATGAGCTGTGATACAGCAAAACAGTCTGTCTGTGGACAACAATATATATATATATATATATATATATATATATATATATGGTCATATATATTAATTAATGCTTAAAAAGACAAAGTAAATGTTTTGTTTATATGCGTGCACTTACCGATTATTCTATTTTTTTTATGTAGTAGCTTTACTGGTCTCTTATATATTAGTGTATTAATTATAAGAGGTTATGTTTATAGGTATATTTATTTGTTGTTTACAAACACACACACATACATACATACATACATACATATATATATATATATATATATGATTAATGCATAAGTAGTAAAGTAAATATTTGTTTATATGTCTTCATTTACTCATTATTTTCTTTTTCTTTTTTAGCAGTAGTTTGATTTTTACCTAGCTTGGTGTTATCTTAAGTATTAGGATATTGATTATGGAAGTTAGGTTTATATTGTATTTTTTTGTTTATATATATTTATATATATATATATATATATATATATATATATATATATATATATATATATATATATATATATATATATATATATATATATATATATATATATGTATATATATATATATATATATATATGTGTGTATATATATATATATATATATATATATATATATGTGTGTATATATATATATATATATATATATATATATATATATATATATATATATATATATATATATGTATATATATATATATGTATATATATATATATGTATATATATATATATATATATATATATATATATATATATATATATATATATATATATATATATATATATATATATATATATATATATATATATTATATATATATATATTTATATATATATATATGTGTGTGTGTATATATATATATATATATATATATATATATATATATATATACACATATACCTATGTTTGGGGTGCAACTTAATTTTCATTGGTTTCCCAACTCATCAGGTATGGGATATAACTTATGATTTGTTTAAAAAATATACAGTGTCTCATGGGAGGAATGCAGATTCACAGCTCAAAGTGAAAATTGGACAAAAATCATTTTGGGGCTAAATACAGAAAATAGGGTGTAGGTAGGAACCATTTGAAAAAAAATAATAAAAATAAATTGAAACAAGTTGCCTTTGCATTGAGTAATGGTTAACATAATCTGTTCCAGCTTCACCATCTGTCCGACATTGTTGGCATTCTGGGATAAAATGCAGTCTCTACTGCTATTTAATTTATAGCTTGAAACGTTACTAACCATTTAATAATAAAGTAATTGCTTTTTATTTATTTCTAATTTTTGTTACAAAGAATGTTAAGTAAAAGAGAATAAAATTATCTTTGAAATTGGTTTTGGTACAAAGGGTAATTTGCAAGTTTGTCTTTGTTTTTCACGCTATTTTTCAAAAATCCATGAATATTATTTTTTTTGTGAATTTCATATTTTGTCATGTGAACCTTTTCAGCAGAAACTGACCACCTAGCATCTCTTAAGTTCATTTATATAAACCCAAAATGTAAAAAGAAATAACAATTATCTTTCTTGTAACCTTAAGTTAACTTAAG